CCCCAAAACCCCAAAACCCCAAAACCCCAAAACCCCAGGATAAAATTATATAATTGTAAATAAATTATCGCAATGGACATGAAAATGCTATCCAGGGTCGGCAAGTCAACTGATGAAAGATACTCTTCCCTTAAGAACAAGAACCAAATACTATCAGGAGAAAGAAAGAAGTTTATAGTCAGATCCTCCTTTTTAAAGCCTAAAAAAGATCCTGATGCTAACTTCCTTGAGAGGATCAGACTGATCCAGAGCAAGAACTTACCTGATCCAAAACAGTTGCTTACGAACAACAAAAACATTATGAAGAAAAATGACAGCCCTAAGAAAAATCGGAAACATAGGAACTCTGTTGATGACCTTAGAGGTAAACAGTCCAGTTTCAGGGCTATTTCCAGAGGAACATATTACAAAATCAATAGCGTGAAGGACTTGCCACCTCCGTGTGGTTATTACAATATCAACTATGAACTAGTTGACAAGAGTATTCCCACCAAGAATCTGCAGCGATATCAACAAAGGAAGACACAATTTTTAATCAAAAAGGACAATCTAGATATTGACTATCCGGACATAAAAGTAACAACGATATTTATATTAACTTATATTTCTAGAGACTAGACAAGCAGAAGGGATACATTGATTTCAAAAAGATTAGCCCAAGAGGAGCATTTGAGACTCTCCAGGCAAATACTCCTCATGAAAAGCAATTTGATGTAAGGTTTATCGTATAATACCCAGAATTTTAACTATTTCCCTTCGATTTCCTCAAAATCTGGCAATAAAATCGAAGCAAATTTTACAACTTTAAGATCAAGAGAGCCTAAGTAACCAAAAATCCTCTAATAATCACAGCTTCAAAATAAACATGACCCCATCAGTATACGAGCCAAACCATGAATTCCTCAAAAGCTCCTTAAGCAAAACCGGTATCGCCTGGAACAAACTCCTGCCAAGGCCACCCATAATTTCCCCTAGGAAAGAAATCGACCTAAACTCCTCGTCCATCGACTTCGATAAAGCCATTGCTGCTAAAATGAGTCTAATGTCTCCATAATGCCACTTAACCCTTATTTATATTCCTTCAATCCCTTTCACACCAGACGGGGTTTTGGGGTTTTGGGGTTTTGGGGTTTTGGGGTTTTGGGGTTTTGGGGTTTTGGGGTTTTGGGG